TCCTTCTCACTTTCTGCCATCAGAGTGGTATCATCTGCATATTGGAGGTTGTTGATATTTCTTCCGGCAGTCTTAATTCCGGTTTGGGATTCCTCCAGTCCAGCCTTCCGCATGATGCATTCTGCATATAAATTAAATAAGCCGGGGGACAATATACAGCCTTGTCGTACTACCATTATACATATATAATGGTATTTTTCAATCCTGGTAACTGGAGACGTACAGTGGTGCCCCGCATAGTGACGATAATCGATTCCGAAAAAATCGTCGCTATGTGGATTCGTCGCTATGCAGGGCAAAAAAGCCCATAGGAATGCATTAAAACACGTTTAATGCGTTCCTATGGGCAAAAAACTCACCGTTATGCGAAAACCGTTTCGCTGCCCAGTAAGCGAGGAAAGGGCGCAAAAACACAGCAGGTGGCCATTTTCTTTACCCGGTGGCCATTTTGGAACTGCCGATCAGCTGTTAAAAAACATCGCTATGCAAAAATCGGTAAGCGAGACGCTTAGCAATCATCGCAAAGCGATGTTTTACCATTGCTCGTTATGAATCGCTCATTATGCGGGGCACCACTGTATATGAAGTTTGCCAGGACAGGTGGCCGACCCATTGACCTTCCCCCACAAACCAGCCGGGATACTGCTGCGATTGGGGTGCTTTTGATTATGCTAGCCGCATGCTTTGCACAGCAAGTGATAAGTAGGCGCCTGGTTCAGGAGGGGAGGGTCCAATCAGGGCATCCCCCTGTGCTGGCGAGCTTTGCATTCATTTCCCTTGGGAGATGAACATGAAGCTCCCATGTCTACTGGTAACTGTATTTTCCCAGTTCTGTGGCAAGAGGAGAGTACATTTCATTAACACAGGATGTCTTCAGTCATGTACTAGGCAATTTGGCAATCCAGGAGTTGGGACAGAGATTGGGAATGGCTTTGCACACCATTCTAGTACTCAGGAAGGAGTATATTGCACACATGGAACTACTTTTCCACACAATAACATCTAACTTTTTGTGCCAGCCAGAGTTGTCCAGGTCTCTACCTGCCCCCATGCTTCATCAATCTTCAGATTTCCAAGAGGCACACTAGACCTTTTTTCCAAAAACATAAATGATTTGCTATTTCAGTCCTTTAAAAGGCACAGCAGACCTGAAATAGCTCTAAAATGGAAAACTGGAGGCTTCTGGGGATGCAGTTACCCATTTGTAAGCAGGAAACCACATCTCTAAAGCTCAGGATTGTGCAGCTGCTCAGGACAACATGAAAGAAACTACTTTAGTTCAGGACTTCCTCTAAACTTAAGTAGCCAGTGAATCCTGTTCTGGTTGTCAAGTTGTGGTGACCCATCTCTTTGTTACACAAAGGCAATAATCATTAGTATAGTCCTAACACCTTGCCTGCAAAGCTGCCTTATTTAAAATTGCTGCCCACAGCAATGTAAATGCAAAGGTGTATTTGGATAAAAGTATGACAGGTATTTCTTACTGCTTGCACAAACAAGCTGAAGCCAATAGCTAAGAAACTTCAATATACAGTGTAAGAAAGAGTTTAGGTGCCACCCCAACATAAGCTGTACACATCACCCATTTGGATCTCCCTGCTGCCTTTTTACAGGCAGGTGTCTCTGGAGCAAAACCACAGTGTGCTTCTGAATATATCAATCATGCCCTTTCTAATGGTGGTTAATAGAGCAGGTCCCTCTTGAGTGGGGAGATTGGCCATTAGGCCATAGGAAAGCATCTGATGGCATTGTGAATCATGCAAGCTAAAATTATGGTTGAGGAAAACATTTTATTTTTCAGGTGGTGACTGACGTTGACTGCTTTGTTCAAGTGTCCAGTGGACTTCTATCAGCAGGTTTGAAGATTTGGATCTTGTGAGCTAATCTAAGAGATCAATGGCAGTTTACTTAACACATCCAAAAATGTAATTCACTTCATAAAAGCACATCCCTCATTCATAACAGTACTTTAAGTTCCCAGATATTTGAATCATTTTATCATTATAATATAGTTTTTATGCTTTTGATATATTCAGTATTTGTATTTATCAATAGACTTATTGAAAAACTTAATTTTGTTTGCTCACATTGCTTTTGTAAGTGACTTTGTGATGAAATTTTATTCACTTTTTATGCATGCTGAGAATCACGTCCTTATAATAATAATCATTATTATACTGTTCAAAATATGTTGGAACATATGTGGCATTGTTTTCATGTTCACATACTATTAAAATATTTTTGTACATTTTTGTTTCCACATTATTTCCATTTCCAACAACATTTCCCTTCCCACCAGAGTGCCTGCAAAGATTCCATGGGATGTTTTTTCTGATGTGACAATGTCTTCTCATAAGTGTATTTGATGGCATAGACTTTTCTGATTTTGGAAGAGACTAACAGATCATGACCATTGTTTTCATTAACTGTTTGAATGCTGAATTCTTTTGCAAAAGATTCTGAGAATATATTTATTTTGGAATAAATTACTATAGAATAATGTGGCTTAAATTCACAATAAAGCAGTTCCATTGATTTACAGGGATCAAAGATATATTTCCCTACTTAAGCATTAGATGAGGAAATTGTCTCAAACTTATATCTCCTTCAAGTGGTTTTGCCTTTCATACTCACTTTTATTCACTTTGGAACTGCCTGATGCATGTTTGTTAAAATCAAGTCTAGAAAAGGAAGTACTAATACTGACAAAACCAAGGATTGCTTACATACTTTATATAAAGCACTTACTGTACTTAAAAGTGTTCTAAAAGCAGAATGCTGGAAAAGGCATATTCTGGAGAAATTAAGCTGTTTATTTTAAAACTTAGGATCCAAAATTCCATATTTCCATATGTGACTGTTTTCTATATCCTAGTACAAACTATTATGTAAAATAGAACCTTTGGTTTCTGAATGCAGGATGCATGTATCAATTGTAAATCAATTGTAATACATACATATATCGTATATGCCTTTTGTCCCTCTGAAATGGACCACTGAGTAGATAAATCCATGTTGTGCACGTTACCTCCAAATGCTGTTAAACTTCATCAGGCCCAGCCAGAATGCCTAGTGGTCAGGGGCAGTAGGTGTCCCTGTATGAATCACCAAAATATTATTGCCGCTGCTGTAAAATTCATAGAAGCTGTGATTGGGCAACGACTGTGTCCCCTGCCCCCTTTTGGTGTTTTAAAGACATGTGCCAAGTAATACATGTGTGTGCCTCTCACAACTGGAGAAGCATTGTACCAAAATACTTCCAAAGATGGCAACCAGACAGTACCAATGTTATGTGGATCAGTAGTTTGGTGTTTTGGTTTTTTTTACATATTTTCTTTATTTCATTAGTTATGCCATCCATGCTGTGCAACCCCTAGGAAATGGCTGATAGCGATGGCTGGTGGGGCTAAGAGTGATCTGGAGGCCGTTGTCCTTGGTTGTCCTCTGGAGGCCTGAATTGCAACCTGGCCAAGGCAATGAGGTAGAGCCAGGAGCTCAAGTCTGGGAAGCAGCCGTGTCAGCTATTTATTGGATTCATGGACCAAAGATGGCAACCAGACAGTACCAATGTTATGTGGATCAGTAGTTTGGTGTTTTTTTTTTTACATATTTTCTTTATTTCATTAGTTATGCCATCCATGCTGTGCAACCCCTAGGAAATGGCTGATAGCGATGGCTGGTGGGGCTAAGAGTGATCTGGAGGCCGTTGTCCTTGGTTGTCCTCTGGAGGCCTGAATTGCAACCTGGCCAAGGCAATGAGGTAGAGCCAGGAGCTCAAGTCTGGGAAGCAGCCGTGTCAGCTATTTATTGGATTCATGGACAATTTGACCCTGAGACATTAGGAGTGGGACTCTGAGAAGCAGCCTTAAGCGTGTTTAAATGGCAAAGTGCGGAACACTGGCCTCTGTGTGTGTGTGTGTGTGTGATGGAGGGTGGAATGGTGACTATGGGACAATCGGAAGAGAGGAACCTGGTTTTGGTCAGAACCCATGATGTGCTTGGAAAAGTTGGACAATCGCTGCCCCACTTTCAACAGGTTTATATTATCATACTATGTCAGACTCAAAAGACTTTTCATCTTACTACTATTCATTTGAAAAACCCAGGACTAATAGCATAGCCAGACTGTGTAATGTTAAATGTATAATCATTTTGTAGTATTATTTGACCAGTATTTCACTTAGGTTAATTTATGCTGATTTAATTCATTTCAAGTTCTTAATTTCTTGATGTTCAGCTATTTCTAGTACATGTTTATCTTTATTAGTTTTGGGTTTATTATTTTATTCGCTCTCTGTTTTTTTGCTAGGGGTCTTAAGCCTTGTGTAATTTGTTTTTATATCTTTTTAGGGACCTTTTACTTTAGATTAGGATATCAGGAAGTTTTTGCCCCCTGTGGAGTGATAGGGCTAGTTGAGACATGTGAAGAGGAAAGGGACTGGGTCAGAAGATAAATATGTTCGAATATAATAAGATTCAGGGGATAGCAGTGGTATCAGGGCATGGAGGTTATGCACTGGGTGGGGGGAGCTATTGTGCTAGGAGGGTTGAGATGAAGAAATTAATCCCTATTCTAAGCTCTTACACCCTCACCCTCTGAAAAGAGTGAAGCAACCAGCTCTGTTGTTCCAGTCCAACCCTTCTACTGCTGAATGCCAGGTCTGTCCAAAACAAATCTCAGCTTATTTATAACTTAATAGTGGATGAGAGGGCTGACCTGGCATGTAGTACTGAGACCTGGGTGGGTGCAGAGAGAGCACTTACCTTCTCCCAACTGTGTTCCCCTGGGTATTCCGTCCAGCACCACAACAGACTGGATGGACTGGGTAGGGAAGGGTCGCCAACGTGCAAAGAGATTCCATCCATGTTTTCAGGACTTCCTTGCTGTTGCTTCTTCAGACCTAGGGTGGGATGCAGAGATAGATTTGGGATAGGAGTTATCTCTGCATGTGGTCAGTCCCACTCATAGAGCAGGACACACTCTGGAACTGGTGTTTATGATGGTTCAGGGAGGCTATGATCCAAAGATGTCAGACATGAGTTCCTTTGCCTTGTCATCGTCACCACATGGAAATATTTGTGCTCACCGTGTCTGTCCTCCCTGGGGGAGATTGGATTGGTGAAGATGGTTTGCCCATGGAGATTTCTAGTGGATGATACATTTCAGGAGGCCTTGGGAAGGTATCTAACTGACCTGGCTGACAAGCCTCTCAAAGGTCAGGTCAATAGGTGATATGCTGAAATGTCCCAGGTGGTTGATATGCTCACTCCCAAATGCCTTCTCCACTCCAGATCTGTCCCTTTCTCTGGTTCAAAGAGGAGCTTTGGGCTATGAAGTCCTTTCAGAGACAGCTAGAGAGTAGATGGAGGAAGGGCCTGTGGGAATTAAATTTAGCTGTGGCAAAGGAATTCACCAGGAAACACTCTAATACCATAAAATCAGTGAAAACAGCTTTTAACATCAAGATAATCAGTGAGGTAGCAAACCAACAAGCAGAGCTCTTTCATATAGTCTGCAGCTTCTCTGTCTGTGATCAGCTTCAGTATGGGAATTTCAGCTGTGATCAGTTTGTGGCCTATTTTAGATTGAAAATAGAGGCCATCGGACATGATAGAGGCCATTCCTAATGCTGAGGGAGGCCCGAAGAGAAAGAACAAGAAAGTGGGCCTTCATCACAGTGGCCTCTCTCCTCCGGAACAATCCCCCCCCCCCAGAAATTTGTCTGACTCCCTCCCTGGGTGTCTTTAAGAGCCATGTCAAGATCCGGCTCTTTAGGCAGGCCTTCCCTCCTGTCGATACCTACCATATTTTTTTCATTTATAACATGCCCCCATTTATAAGATGTCCCCCAATTTTCTAACCCCAAAATTAAGAAAACTTAGCTTTGAGGATTCAGCCTCTGAGCTCTGAATGTCGAACATTTTGTCTCTGTTGACTCTTGAGTCTACAGGCTCCACCTCCAAAGAGGTGTATTCCAATTTGTTTGTTCAGGACCAGCTAACGTCAGTTCCATAAGGCTCGTGATTGGAGGAAGCTAAGCCTCCTGACTGCAGGAAACTAAGCCTCATGGCTGAAGCAAGACTGTTTAGAGAGGCAAGGTACGTGCCGTTTCGTACTTCTGTGTAAAAGATGCCCCTTAATTTTTAGGGTAATGATTTTAGGAAAAAGTGGCATCTTATAGATGGAAAAATACAATAATTTATTTGCCATCTTCAATTGTATTACTGTTGTTATTTTACTTTATTATTCTTGAGTGTTGTTAGCCACCCAGAGTAGACATTGCTGTAGATGGGCAGGAGATGGATGGATGGATGGATGGATGGATGGATGGATGGATGGATGGATGGATGGATGGATGGATGGATGGATGGATGGATGGATGGATGGATGGATTTTTTTTAATGATCTGGACTCTGCCACCAGAGTAGTCGTATTGAGACTCCAGGGCACTGCCTTTTCTGGTTTTGTTGGATCAGTTTCACCCTATAATATCTGAAGATGTGGCCAAAGTGCTTGCAACATATAAGCCTACTACTTCAATACTCGATCCTTGCCCATCCTGGTTTTTAAAATGAGCCAGTGATAATGCAGTGGACTGGGCTGTACATCTGATGAACTTGTAACTACAGGAGGGTCATATTCCCACCTGTGTACAAGAAACTATAGTGTGGCCCATCTTAAAAAGATCAAAGCTGGCAACCAATGAGTTGAATAATTATAGTCTGCTCATCAATATTCCTATTTTGGGCAAGCTGATTGAACAAATGGTAGCAGAGCAGTCTAGGCATTTCTGAAAGAAACAGACTGCCTTCATCCATTCTAGTTGGGGTGTAGGCCACAGCATGGTACTGAGCCAGGATTACTCACACTGCACAATGACTTTTTAAGGGCAGCCGATAGGGCAGGAATGACCTTGTTGGATTTCCTTGCTCTCTTAGTGGCTTTTGATACCATCTGCCATGATATTCTCCTGGAGAGGATATTGGCATTAGAGATTGGCTCTCAGCTGGTTCCAAGCTTTTCTCAATGCCTGTGTCCTGCGAGTCCAGCTTGGAGAGTGGTTATCGTTCCTTGTGTGGTTCCTCCAGTGCTTTTCAAGGTTGCTGGAAGATGTCATATGGATAGCTTTTTTAACTGTTCCACATTTTTAGTTAAATTAGATGCAGTGTGTTTGTCTACACCCCTATAACAAGGCATATACCTTCCTGTTTTTATGCATTTCTCTGCTCCCCTTTCCCCTTTTTAAATTTTTTGTGTGTGGATTCATTGGTGTGTCAGCAGAATGCCCTTGCTGGCCATGTACTGATCTGGGGCATTTTTTTCCTGTTTCCACACTGGATTATCCTCAATAATGGAGAATCCACAGCCCTTTTGATAGAAGCATACCAATGCACCAACACTCACATTTGAAAACTTTTTTAAAAAATTAAGGGAGTTGAATGACAGCTGGTGGTGGTGGTGGGACAGCACACCAGATGTAAAGGAAATGAATCAGTTTTGTAGTACACACTCTATGGAATGTCGGTTGTACTGCGAAATGAAACAGAGAACAAATATAGTAGTAGACTCCCAACAGGCTGGATCTGATGTGGAGAAAGCACAGATGGAGAACAAAAGAATCTGTGATGGCCATATGTCATCTAAAACCAGACACCCCCAAAAAAGGATTGAAACTCATGGGGAGTAACCTGGAAACATTTTGCTGGTGTGGCCACATCTGAGAGTGGCTTTCCTCAGGTCACCTAGTGAGTTCCCTGTAACAGCAGGATTCAAGTAGGGGTTTTTTTGATTTGTGTATTGTTAGGTTGTTGTCAGCATATTCATTACTAACATTTCAAAATGTTATCTTGTAAGGCATACAGAAAACAGTGGCAGGTAGAATACTTCAGTACCTAGAAACTAGCTCTGCCACTAGGTTGCCCTCAGTGTTGCCCAACGTGCATCTGCTGAATGAGACAATAGATTGGTGGTATCTTTGTCCAAACACCACATAATCTAATAAATAGAGTTGTCCACATACAGACCTGAAGAAAATGCTGTTAAAAACATGTTCAGTTATGTTCGTTCGTTCATTTAGTCGTTTAGTCATGTCCGACTCTTCATGACCCCATGGACCAGAGCACGCCAGGCCCTCCTGTCTTCCACTGCCTCCCGGAGTTGGGTCAGATTCATGTTGTTTGCTTCGGTGACACTGTCCAACCATCTCATCCTCTGTCGTCCCCTTCTCCTCTTGCCTTCACACTTTCCCAACATTAAGGTCTTTTCCAGGGAGTCCTCTCTTCTCATGAGATGGCCAAAGTATTGGAGCCTCATCTTCAGGATCTGTCCTTCCAGTGAGCACTCAGGGTTGATTTCCTTTAGAATTGATAAGTTTGTTCTCCTTGCAATCCAGGGGAGTCTCAAGAGTCTCCTCCAGCACCACAATTCAAAGGTATCAATTCTTCGGCGGTCAGCTTTCTTTATGGTCCAGCTCTCACTTCCATACATCACGACAGGAAAAACCATAGCTTTGACTATTCAGACTTTTGTTGGCAAGGTGATGTCTCTGCTTTTTAAGATGCTGTCAAGGTTTATCATCGCTTTCCTCCCAAGAAGCAGGCTTCTTTTAATTTCGTGGCTGCTGTCTCCATCTGCAGTGATTATGGAGCCCAAGAAAGTAAAATCTGTCACTGCCTCCATATCTTCTCCTTCTATTTGCCAGGAGGTGATGGGACCAGTGGCCATGATCTTAGTTTTTTTGATGTTGAGTTTCAGACCGTTTTTTGCACTCTCCTCTTTCACCCTCATTACAAGGTTCTTTAGTTCCCCCTCACTTTCTGCCATCAGAGTGGTATCATCTGCGTATCGGAAGTTATTGATATTTCTTCCGGCAATCTTAATTCCGGCTTGGGATTCCTCCAGTCCAGCCTTCCGCATGATGTATTCTGCATATAAATTAAATAAGCTGGGGGACAATATACAGCCTTGTCATACTCCTTTCCCAATTTTGGACCAATCAGTTGTTCCATATCCAGTTCTAACTGTTGCTTCCTGTCCCACATATAGGTTTCTCAGGAGATGGATAAGGTGGTCAGGCATGCCCATTTCTTTAAGGACTTGCCATAGTTTGCTGCGGTCTACACAGTCAAAGGCTTTTGCATAATCAATGAAGCAGAAGTTCAGTTAAGACTGAAGATCAAATCAGACAAAGTGGTCAGGTTGCGTTGAGAAGCTGATAGTCTGTTTGTCCTCCAATGGCAGGATTTCGTCAAAGTTTGTGAAATTAAATTTCCAAATTAAGCTTCTGTTTATCTCCCCGTGACAAATCACAAAACAAAACAAGGTAATTAGCAAGATGCGGAGGAGGTCAGAAAAACCTGCACTTTGGAGAAACAGACATCTTTTACCAGATAAAGGTGCTCTGTTTTTAAATGCAAATAAAGGGTCTTGTATAGTTTGCTGCTACAAATGAAGGAGAAAGATATAAAAAGATAAGGAAATCAGCTCGCTGACCAGTTTTTACCAACACCACATGCTAAAACTCCAATCTTGGAAAGTTATGTCCAAAAATGTTTGTTTGTTTGTTTAGCCTTATATACTGCCCATCTAGAACATGTCTACTCTGGGCGGTTTGCACAAAATACAAAAACCAAAGATACAAATATAATAAATTAGTTGCATTTATAGTTCTATGGTCCACCCAATCCCTCTTTTTTATGTTACTCATTCAACACATGTGTTCATTTTTCTTCCCATGAAATATTATTTTTTATGTTACTCATTCAACACGTGTTCATTTTTCTTCCCATGAAATATTATTGTCCCTTTATTTGCTGTGTGCTACATAATGACGCTTTAATTATAACATGGTGTAGGTTTATTTTTATCCTCCTCTTCCTTGTCTTGTTAGTTGTCTGACTCTCCTATAAAAACAACTGGGGGGGCATTCATGCTGTGTTCAGACTTTTCTCCTAGTAGAGAGGGCTCCACCTCTGAAAGGAAGAAAATATTTGTGATTGCTTAAAGGTTACCATGAAAAATACAGGGCACCCTTGATGCTGAGCCGTAGATAATGCAGCAAGATTATGAGTTCTCTTTGAAACCCTTCTCTGCCCTCTCCAAGTCTCAGGGTGCCAAAGGCCCCCCGGCACTAGGCCTGGTTTTAAAGGGAAGAAAAGGAACAGAGAATATCAAGCAATGGGAGAGAAAGTTACAGAACACAAGGTCATTTTAATTCATAGCTCCCTTTTTTAAAAAAAGTCTCAGCTTTCCTCAGCTTTGATATATTTGTTCAGAAAAATCACTCCTCTTTAAGGCTTGTCGTTAAAAGAAAGTTGGCCCTTTAAAGTGCATTATCAAAGACTGCAGAAATGGTAAGTTACAAAAACTGAAAATATGTGATCAGTTTTAAGGCTGCTAACCCAAAGCCCATTTAAAATCTGCTTGGCTTCTGCAGTAGTGGCTGCTGCTGCTGCTACTGCTGCTGCTGCTGCTGCTGCTTCTTTTTCTTCTTCTTCTTCTTCTTCTTCTTCTTCTTCTTCTTCTTCTTCTTCTTCTTCTTCTTATTATTATTATTATTATTATCATCATCATCATCATCATCATTAGTAGTGGTGGTGGTGGTGGTGGTAGTAGTAGGGTTTCATACAAGATAGCACAAACATGCTCCATCCTTCATCCTGTTTCCATTAGATTCTGCAGCCCCCAAAAGTCTCTTAAAATTCATTGTTGTTTTTCTAGATTTTTAAAACCAGTTTTCACACACCTGCCCTCTGAACCAGAGGCCAATGGGTTCTTCCCTGGTCTGGGAAAAGACAAGACAAGACAGAAGAGAATACCAAAGAATAGAAGCATGTGAAGTTTAAAATACAAAGCCAGAAAAAACACCAAATTCGTTAACTTGAACTTGGGTTATAAAATAAAAAATGGAAGCCTTTTTCGTTGTTTTTCATTATTATAAGTGATCCCCAGCTAAGTGATTATTTTTTAAATGTTTTCATTGCAATACTTGTACATTCAGGCCACATGGCTTCCTTCCAGGGAAATTAAATGTGGGCTTCATCCTGAACTAAAGAATCCTCATGCAGATCTGCCCAACTCAGTGGTTCAATGAGCAAGCTCATTCCATCTAACACTTTAAGAGAAGAAGGGAGCATTTTTCCAAGCTTCTCTGCAAGGGTTATCCTTTTTCCTCAAAACTTTTTAAGTGTGACTCTGAATAACCAGAAATGTGAAGTGAAGCAGGACCCATGTTTCATCCTGTTAGGAAGACAACAGACACCGGACTTTATTCTGAAAAGCTGCAGGGCTGAAGAGAAAATGTGCAACCAGCACAACAATGTGTTTCTCTCCCCCACAAGAAATAAATGATGTGCAATTATGAGGCTGTGGGGGTTTTAAGTATTTCAGTTCCCATAGTATTCTTCTGATGGCAGTTCAATGAGGCTGTAGACCTCGCTCTGACCATTTGGTCATTCCAAGAGGCTCAGCTGGTGGTATCACAGCTCACACTCCCAAAGTGTGAAGTGCCCCACTTGCCATTTTAGCACTTCTGAGAATGTTTCAGATGTGCCTCTCTGCCTTAAGTCATGAATGTTTCCCTGCAGTTCTGGCCAGTGTGTTTGGAAGTGTTGTATTTGATGGAGCAAGGGTTAGCTTTGTAACATGGAATACATAGCACGAAACACACCAATAACTCAAGTTTTCAGTTCAAAAGACAATTTCACAAAATAAGGAAGTTTAATTGCAAATATTTTGCACATCCTCTTTAGGCCAATTCAGACAGAAGCCACGAGTTTTTAAAGTGTAATGGAAAATGCACATTTGAATCATCATTATATTAATTGATTGTCAAAACTTAGACGGAGGAAGAGAAACATTGAGTGACACATCCCTTAGGGAAGAACCAAAGTTGCATTTTGGGGGTCGTAATGGAAAAAGAGATTTCAGGGGTGTCAACATGCTGAAAGCTGAATGATGAGGTATAGTCAATATCTGACTGCAACAGCAAAAAGAATATTTCAAGAATATTCGCTGTGTTTAATTTGTATGTCTCAGAATTGATGGAAGCTGGGTGTTTCTCAAGGTAAGAAAGATGTGATCAACCCACATTGTGGGTTGCCTCTCAGATGCCACACAAGGGAAGACAGTTGTGCTTCTATCCATGACATGTTGTCTCCATCAGCGTAACTTACCGTTTCCCTGAAAATATGTCCTAACCTGAAAATAAACCCTAGTATGATTTTTCAGAATGCTCATAATGTAAGCCCTTCCCCAAAAATAAGCCCCAGTTAAGTGAAACTCTGCCCACCACCATTGTGCTGCAACCAGAAGAAGTTGACATGACTGTATTTGAATAAATGTAGATTGTTGTACATCAGAAAAAAAATCCCCTGAAAATAAGCCCTAATGTGTTTTTTGGAGCAAAAATTAATATAAGACTCTGTCTTATTTTCAGGGAAACACGGTATTTGAAGTTTCCAAGAGACACTGTTTGCTTGTGTCCCAAAAAGGGATTTTTTTTTCCCCAGTGTAAACATCTTAGTTCCAGCAGATGAGAGTTGTTGTTTCCCCAAGTTGTTCTGTTCATGTCTCTGATAGTGTAAGGTCTTTGACAACAAAGACTTAAAACAAGGGGAATAATGCTGTACTTTACCAGACCAATTAAAAATGTAAAATAATCTAATTGAGTCAACAGCCACTGCTACTTTTTTACATTGGCTGATTTATTCTTCATTGATATTAGCCACTGTGGATATCAACAACTGAAGGGAGAAAGTGAGGTAGAACTTTTCAACTGAATAAAATAATGTGGAAATGAATGTGCCTTGGGTTTGAACAGCAACATCAGTCATTTTGCTTTGAAAAATATTTTTTAGAAAACATACTGGCCAAAGGGAAAGTTAGCTGTGTGGTTTAGTTATAACAACACACTCTCCTTAACTTCCCTTTCAAGATGCAACCTCAGCTTAAGACCAGACTTCATTGGACATTTCCAGTAGTGAAGATTTCAGGGCATCCTTGGGATTAAGATGTTTGATAGTGTGTGTCATAAGGACACGATAGCAGGCACAGCCTTGCCATTATACTGCATTACAACCTTAACAAGTTACCTGCACTTCAGTCTATAAGCTAGTTAGGTGCCAAAAGCTTGGAAATGCTGCTGTGTATCTTGTGTTCCTGCTAAGGAAACAAAAGGAACCTCAGGAGGAGGCAGGTGTTGCTCACTCCCCAGGATACAAGGAGCCATGAAACAAAAGACCCTGCAATGGTCACTCCTTTTCTGTCCTCTGAATGGAGCACTCAAATTTGACAAGTGGGTGGCAAGCTATCCATAGTTAAGCCCCCTTCTTCAGGAAAGATTTTGGCAAGTGCCAGCTCCCCCTTTCGCCTCTTGGTGTGGATTATGGAAAGAGCTCTGATGTGAGATTGGGTAAAGGTTCCCCTTGACATTTAGTCCAGTCGTGTCTGACTCTAGGGCGCGGTGCTCATCCCCGTTTCCAAACCTTAGAGCCAGCATTTGTCCATAGATAGTTTCCGTGGTCATGTGGGCAGCACCACTAGCCACGGAACGCCGTTACCTTCCCACCGAGGTGGTACCTATTTTTCTACTTGCATTTGCATGCTTTCAAACTGCTAAGTTGGCAGGAGCTGGGACAAGCGATGGGAGCTCATTCTGTTGCGTGGATTCGATCTTACGACTGCTGGTCTTCTGACCTTGCAGCATAGAGAGAGCAAGTTTCAAACCAGATCCTTCATCATGGACATTCCTTAAAATGACATTGACCTGGTATCGAATCATTCTTACACCTCTGGGATCTTCTCCTTTTCTCTGTAACAGATGTCTTCCTGTTTTTTTTTTAAATCACATCTTTTGCTGACCCCATGTTCTGAGTCAGTACAAAGGGGTATACATGAACACAGGTGGAGGTGTGTTCCATCTCAGAGGGAATTCCGGGACACTCAGGTTTTTCCCTCAGGAAGAGCCCTACGTAACCTCGTCCTGATCACACTTGGTGTGGGTGTAGAGTGGGTGGAGATGAAGGGTCTTGTTGGGACAGTGGGCACCCTCTCACCCTCCTCTCACACCTATTCATTAAGATGCAGAGAGCATCATGTAGTCACTATAAAATGTGGAAGTAATAAAATGTAAGGCAACAAAACAACCAAGAACAGTTCCTGTCTGGTCATTCTCTTTCTTAAGCTGCCATTCCACTGCAGAGGTGGTGTGTGGTGGTGTCAGCACACCCAAAACCCGGGAGCTATGGTAAGGAGGTAGTGAATAGGTATGCATGCATCGATCATAATGCCAAAGGATCAGAGTACCACCATCACATGTGAACCATCCTTTTGCTGACAGTGGCAGAGCAGGTCCTCGAAAACTCCCCATGTATCATATGTACAGTGGGTGAGGCTACACAGGATGCAAATCCCAGAAGGAATGGTGGCTACAGCAACTAGTAGATGCATTGTGCTTTTACCATGCCACCAAGAAAAGTAGCCCCCCATCCCACTGTGCAATATTGCATGGTTATCTAGGTCATTTCTGGAAACCCCAGCCAACACACCTGGTAGCCGCAGTGACCTTTCCTCTGCCACCGTTTTCATCAAAGATGCAAGGTGTTTCGTGATTTTTAGCAGTATTGCAATCTAGCATTAGAACATGTCTCCACTTGGTCACTATCATAACTTTTAAAACACTGAATCATTATATTATCATTAGAGACAATGCACTGCAGTTGGGGAAGGAATAGCACTGTTAGAAGGAAGGAGAGAGCAGGCCTAGTAGCCCAGTGTGGACAGCAGATGGTGAGAAGTACCAGATAGCAACAGAGGACCATGTTTGCACATAAGCACATCAGAAACTCTAAACTGGTGGGATTTAAGGGAGAAAAATGAGTGAAGCACAACATCTGGAAGAGTCATCTGGAAAATGAAGTGAGTGTTAACTTTTATAGTGTTTTTACTTAGCAGAGGAATACCCCTGGAGGAATGAATACATACATACATACATACATACATACATACATACATACATACATACATACATACATACATACATACATACATACATACATACATACATACAATGGGTGTGTGGGTGTCAGATCAATAGGATCCCATTTCCTGAGATTTCAGAGCTGCAGCTGCAGCATGGGGGAAATGGCCATCCTTTGTGGCAAGGCAGGCAAGCACAGGCATAGAATGATGGGAATTGTTTCTGACCCAAGTGATTCTGTTAATGGTGTGAGAGGCCTTTGTGTAAAGCACACCTATAGAAAAGGAAGGGTGATTGGAAATAAAAATGAAAGAACAGCAGGACAAAAGGGTGGTTTGTGTGAGGAGAGGTCACTCCCATAATGTATCACTATATAGATCAGAGCGTGTGCATGGATTGGTACCATCTGACATTTTGGTATATGGCTACCCATAAGAAAGGTGGAATAATTAAGTACTGGGAAAAAGCTAGCTCTATCTACATCTCTAGAGTAAAAAACATCAGAATTTAACTATAATCCCTGCAAAATGAATTAGAACAAGAAGAATGTTGTTTTGGATACTGCAAGTTAAACTGGGAACTGTCAGGATCCCCCCCCTCAAAAAAATTATGTAGCTTTCTGCTCCAGTCAAGGAGGGTTTGTATCCTTACCTCCTAGCATAGTACACAATTACACCATTTTACCTCATAACAGCACTGTAAAATGGTTTAGACTTAAAGATGGTGTCTACAGCACTGGAAAAGGCCCTGGGCTATAGACAGACAGAACCACTGGGGTCTTAGGCTGAGCAACAATACATCTCCCT